CACCCACACCCACATACACCCACCCCACCCACACCCTGTTTGAGTTGAGTTTTTTCTTAAAAGAAAAAAATAGCAAATCTGTAGTGTCCTGGTTGTATCTATCAAGGTTCTATCGATAGAATTTCTGAGACTTTCGTGTTTCTTGAGCTTATACTCCATCTGACCTGGGAATTTATTTTTGCGCTTAAAGACTATATCTTTTAGGCTTTCCTAGAATATCTGTAAAGCAAAAACTATCTCCAGCGAAATCCTACTGAAAACGTGATTAATACAAATTCTGTTTTGATTCGCACGTCTAACAGAGAATGCTGATAAAGTAAGCGAATATAGCGTTTTAAAGATGAAAATATGAAAAGAAAATTCACGGTTTTTATTCAATTTCTGACAAATTTAAAAAAAAAACACATATCTCTAGAAACTAAATTTGCATTTCGCACTAATTTTGGACGCACTTTCGAACTAGATATTGAGCTTCAATACAGTGCCATGCACTGGCAGAAAAAGTTTTGCCTTGCGAACTTCTTTCCCTGTATTTTTCTCCTAAGGTAACTTTTCCTGAGGAAAGCCTAAGTTCCTTTAGCCATCATCTTACGATCTTGAAGGTCTCATAAATCGTCTATTGATTTGTTAGCTTTGGTATTAAACACCTTTCAGCTATCAAAAGATTAGACTCTTCAAGTAACTATCAGAATAACAAACACTCGCACATGTAGATAAGAACGAGCATAATGATAGAAAGGAGAGAGCTACAAACAAAAGAATGGAGAGATATGATAACAATGACTGCATTTGTCAAGTAGTATATTGCCAGTGTGGTATAATTTTAACATGCCTCTATACATCATCGAACATTCATCAGCATTGCTCAACTACGAGCAAAAAGAACAGATCTGTAAGGAAATCACACGTATTCATTGTTCTCTGACTGGTGCTCTACCTACCTTTGTCAACGTCGTATTCCAAACGACCGATAATAATGTAAGCCGATGAGTAGATTGCTGCTTCTATTTCTTTTCTTTTTCTTACGAATAGGTCGAGTTTGTCAACAATAAACCCGGCATAAAGTACGAATTTTTGGACGAATCCGAGCTGGTCGATCGGCAGCAACAA